GAGGTCTATCAAAGCCTCACGTGCTATACGAAATCACTGAAGTCTATAGCATGGTCCAGTGCGATATAATTCTAATGTGATGTGTGAAGTCCTTAGTCTTATGCAAGGCCCCTGGAACCCAAGTAATAGTCACTATAACTATCTACCCTAACTAGGTGCCTACTATTGATCCTAGCTCCTATCAGCCTAATATAGTCCTCCAATCGATATACAGTATCTATCTATCAATATCTATCTATCTATCTATCTAATCGATACTCGTATCTATCGTTAATCAAACTCCTATTTCTACTTCTATCAGAGTCTCAATGCTACTCTCATGTCTCACTCTCACTCCTATCCATCTATCATATGTATCTATCCATCAATACTCTCCTCTTCATGCACATACGTCCATACTGGCTAAGTCACGCGTCCCCCGCCGCCCTCACCCCTCAATCTAACCCTCCTAATCCTCCATCTAACTCTCCGTATCCTACTCTACCCCTCATCCCCCCGACCCCCCCGGCCGACCTCCCTATCGCTCATCTGCTATCTATCTATCCCTATTCTATCTATCTCATCACTACTCCTATCTATCAGCTCTATCTAAACTCGCTCACATACCACACATTACAATCAAAACACACACAAGAACGACCAAATTGCGCTGCAATTAATTAATTAATTCATCTATTAATTTATGAGATCGAATAAATATACAGAAAGCTGATGTGAATGTTAAATCGTAAAGAGAAGCTGACGTCATTGATAGCGGCGCCGGTCTGTAGGCGTATCTAAGTAATCACTTTTTAGAGATCCCTGTGGTAAATTGAAATCATATGTCAGCCAAGATCATTTCTAATATCCCAACATGAATAAATTCAGCTCTCCGGTTCTCCCGCGGCCCCGAACGCCTCGTGCTCAGATAGATTCCGCACCACGTCGGAGAACCTTATTTAGTTTTGGGGAAAGTCACGCATTTGCATGAATTAAAAGGCCCCTCCCTCACAGCAGACCACATTAATATATCAACAAAATATGAGTCCGCAGCACTAGATGAACCGGGCCCATCACCCGCGTCAACAAGGCTGAAAGAGGAGGGACCCTCACATATTTAAATTTAGATGAAGCGCTAGTATTATAGGCCGCGAGTAGGGTAATGGGCGGTAAATGGACCCTTATCGCGGTGCTGAATCATAACTATAAAGTGGACGTCTAAATCTCCCCTCGTCTCCCATCCGGACACTTTCAGCTTACTTCTCCGCATGAGACAGCAGCTGCAGCGGCTCAAAGGCCCTTATTAGCCTTGTACGCTGCTGTTCTAGCATTGCGGAGAAGAAGCTGAAGTGCCGGAGTGGAAGACGAGGGGAGAAGGAGACGTCCACTTTATTTATGATTCAGCACCGCGATATCCATCCGCCATACATGCGGGCCTATATAGCCGCTCATCCTAAATTTAAATATGTGAGGGTCCCCTCCTCTTCAGACTTGTTGAACCGGTGATGGGCCCCTGTTCATCTAGTGCTGTCTGGACTCAGTATTTTGTGAATAATTAAGGGTCCCTCTGTGAGGGAGGGCACTGTTTATTCATCATAATGGTGACCTTTCCAAACTAAAAGTCGAGTGGGGGATCATAATCTGAGCACGAGGCGTCGGGGCCGCGGGGAGAACCGGAGAGCTGATTTATTCATGTTGATATAAAGAAAATGAAAAATTCATTTAACCACAGGGATCAAAGAAGTGAACTTTATACCGCCTACAGCCCGAGGCGCGTTTCAATGACGTCAGCTTCTCTTTACGTTTAACATTCAACAGTTTCCTGTATTAATGTTTAAAATTATAGATGAATTTAATTTAATTAATTAAAGCCCAATTCTTCTGTTTTATTTATTTATTTGGTATGTACGTAGTAGATAGATGATAGAAGATAGATAGATAGATAGAATATAGATGATAGATAGATAGATAGATAGATAGAGTAGATATAGATAGATAGATAGATAGAATAGTAGATAGATGATAGATAGATAAATAGACTGATAGATTAGAT